CAAAACATTATCTAAAATGTGTAATCTCCACTTTAATTACTCATTAAGTTATCAAGTAAATTACCATGTAATCTATAAAGCTATGGAATTAATTCTCAGTTACATAGCATTCACCATATAATTAGCAAACAGTCTCCATCATTACAGCTTTCTAATCTATTATGGAAAAGAGCAGGGACATAATTTCAGTTACAAAGCCCCTATACTTAACTCGTCCGTCCACGGGAGGTACGCAGCAGGGTTGATTGCAGGATTAAATGAATTTTTATTTATTAACTATCATATCACTCATGGTCACATAGACCCATTTCACTCTAAAAAACACACTAGCTTCAAAGCTTGGTGTACAGACTTGTTTGGTTGTTTTAAAGAAAGATAAATAAACAATTATTCAACATCTCAAAATCTAATGCCCCCTTCCCATATTCTGTGAGATTTTATATGATGTTATATTAACCATAAAGTCCCCAAAATGCTATGTACTTTTAATAGGAAAAAAACTACAGCTCTATAAAAAAGCATTTTGAAAGCAGAGCTAGGATAATATATTGGTACATGATACAAGCTTAGAGAAAACTGCAACCAGTTTGAGTCGGGGATGAAAGGAAAGCAGTGCCCCTCAAGGGTGGCTTAACTTCTCTGTGACATCATAGGGGTGAGGCCTGAAGCCAAGCGGTTAAGCACTAAGCTGCTAACTGTAAGATAGGAAGTTCAAACCCACCAACCGCTCTGTGGGAGAAAACTACGGCGGCCTTCTCCTATGGAAATCTACAGCCTTTGAAACCCTATGTGAGAAGTTCTCAACCTGTAGGTCGCGACCCCTTTGGGGGATCCAACAACCCTCTCACAGGGGTCATGGAAGATCATCAGAAAACACATATTTCTGATGGTCTTAGGAACCGAGACACCGCTCCTCTGACTGTCTCCAGGTGGGTCCGCCCACATGCAAATACGCCCACAAACAGTACATAGTGTGAAGACTGTTACCCATGCAACACCATGCTTCAAGACAAAATTTCATTTATATGTGATTAGAAATAAATATTTCACAATATAGAATTACATATGGTTTTGTGATGAATCAATGCTTTCATTATGTTCAATTTGTAACAATGAAAATACATCCTGCCTATCAGATATTTACATGATGATTCATAACAGCAGCAAAATGACAGTGATGAAGTAGCAACAAAAATAACTTTATGGTTGGGGGGTCACCCCAACACGAGGAACTGAAAGGGTGGCGGCCTGAGGAAGGTTGAGAACCACTGCCCTGTGTAGAGACTCACTCTGTCCTCTCAGGCCCCTATGCACCAGAATCAACGACAGCAATGAGTTTGGTTCCTGGTTTCAGAGAACATAATCAGATAGTTTATTTGGGGTGCTTCTTTGTTTTTGCTTTTGTTTTTAAAGAGGAAGGTCCTCAAATCGAAACTGTGTGAGTCACACTCAGACACTTGAGAGCACACAGTTTGGCTGGCTGAGGAAAGCCCACGGCTCGATGCCACACTCACACTCACACTCACACTCACCGCTCTCTTCCTTCGCCTTTTCAGCCACTGCAGTTCAGATAAAAAGGGCCACTGGTCACCCTGCTCCACACCTGTGCCAAAGGAAAGCAAACACCAACATGTACGTTTGACTGCTTCTCGATGGGAGTTAAGATTTCTGACTATGAGGAAACGGTGTTATTGATACCACATGTCAGCTTAAAATCATGACACTGAAACACGGCACAGTCGTGTGGTCCCAAAGCAGTTCTAGGGTGCCATTTCTTTCAAACATCATGAAAAGACTCTAAACTGTGCAAACTCATTAGTCCATGTGTAGTTGACCTACAACCACATGA